CTACTAAGATGTAAAAAAAAAAAATTACATTTGTATAAGAAGTTGTATATAGAAAGAAAAAGACAAAATTATTCACGTATATTTTACCATATAGAGATAATTAAGGCAACGTTAACAGCCTTGTTAATTCTTAATAAATAAGTTGAATTAGTTTGCACTCAAGTTTACTATAGTAGAAAATGTTCCCACTAATCCAATATTCATTACTCACATAGCAACACTGTGATGCTAAAATAACAGAGGCATTATGGTCTAAAATCGAATAACTCACTCAAATGAATGCTTTCACGCACACATTTAAAAATAACTGCGTTTCATAGGTACATACTAACTGTTTACAGGTACTAGGTATCAGAGAAAGTAAATTAACCACTGTGTTTTCTTTGAAGAACACTGAGAAAGCCATCATTAAACTATTTCGTTTGTCAAGCAGTCAAACAATTGATGCAAAGAGACCAGGACTAAAATGAAAATGGATCAGATCTCGTGGTGTTAATCTATGGATTCTTAGTGTTCTGGGTGTGTCTGCTAAACATGATGATACAAAACTCCACAGCTCTCAGTATGTTCTTTTGCCACAGTTTTATTTCCTGTTCTGACAAGATTGAGGTAAAATACACTGCTGAGCCCACCAGGCTCAGACGGGTTGTTTTAAGCTCGTGAACTCTCAGACAGCCCTAGTTTAACTCACTGGGTCTCAAAAAAAGAGATATGAGTGTGGGAAAGAGACCGGTAGGGAGGAGGCAGGGGCGGGAGGGGTGGGTGGAAGATATAAAAAGGAGTAAGAGTAACTAGAATGCCTCATATGCATTCATGAAATTGTCAAAGAAATTTAATTAATAAAAATTAGAATATGCAGCTGAAAAATATGTAACTGAAAAAATAGATATGACAAAGGAGAGAAAAGAGAGGGTCCAAGGTAGTAACTAGAGATAACTCCTTTCTTTCTTTCTTTCTTTCTTTCTTTCTTTCTTTCTTTCTTTCTTTCTTCCTTCCTTTCCCTTCCTTCCTTCCTTCCCCTTCCTTCCTTCCTTCCTTCCTTCCTTCCTTCCTTCCTTCCTTCCTTCCTTTCTTCCTTCCTTCCTTCCTTCCTATCTTTCTTCCTTTCTTTCTCTTAGTTTTGTGCTTTTGTTGGGTATTTTTCTATTATTATTATTAAATTTACTTTATATCCTGAAGTTTCCTCTCCCTCCTCTCCTCCCAGTCTTTCCTGCCTCCCCACCTCATCCTCACCCCCAATCCACTCCTCCTCCTTTTCCCCTCAGAGAAGGGGAGGTCTCCCATGGATATCAACCAGCCTTGGCATATCAAGTTGCAGTAAGACTGAGCACATCTGTCTACTCCTATTGAAGCTAGACAAGGCAGCTCAGTTAGGGGAAAGGGTTTCAAAAGCACCCAACAGAGTCAGAGACAGCCCCTGCTTCCACTGTTAGGAGTCCTGCATGAAGACCAACCTACACGGCTGTTACATACGTGCAGAGGGCGTGTGTGTGGGGGTGTGTGTGAAGGGTGTGCATTTCTGTGACACTTTAGAAACCTAGGGCAATGGAAAATTCCAGGAATCTATGAGGATGACCCTAGCTAAGACTCCTAGCAATGAGGGAGCCTGAACTGGCCATCTCCTGTAACAAGGCAAGAATGCCAATGGCAGGATTGGGATACTTAACCAGCCACAAAACCTCTGACCTAGAATTTGTCCTGCCTGTAATTGTGCTGGCCTGCCCTCAGGGACCTAGCAATGTCTTTACACCATCACCTGGTGCAGTAGGTGCCTGCCTTATAAAAGGACCCACCCCTTTCCCAGCTCTCTCTTTGTTTCCAGAACTCCCTCTCCCCTTTTCTGTCTTTCTCTGTGCCCAAAGTCCCCTCTTCTTTGACCTCATGGCTCTGTTCCCCTCTGTCTGTCTGCCTACATGGCTCACTGCCTCTACTCCTCCAGGTCCCCCACCCTTTTCCCCAGTAAGCCCTCTTTATACCAGATCTGTTGTGTGGCATCATTTCTCAGGGGGTACACCCTGGCATGGACCTCCATATCACTATATATCGTAACACTTCCTACAAGATATGCAGAAGTAAAGATGGAGCAGAAATTGAGGGAATGCCAACCAATGACTAGTCCAGCTTGAGATCCAGGCCACAAGAGGAAGCCCACCCCGGACTCAGTAGTGTTATTCTGCTATAGTGGCAGACAGGAGCTTAGCATAACTGTCATCAGAGAGGCTTCACCGGCAACTGATGGAAACAGATGCAAGAGACCCACAGCCAAACATTAGGTGGTGCTTGGGGGATCCTGCAGAAGGATTGTAGGAGCCAGAGGGGTCAAGAATAGCACAGGAAAACCTACAGAATCAACTGGGCCTATAGGGGATCACAGAGACTGAACTGCCACCCAGAGAAAGCATGCATGAGACTGACCTAGGCACCCCCCTCCCTTTTTTTTTTTTTTTTTTCTAAACTGGTTTCCCTGTGGTGTAGCCCTGGCTATCCTAGAACTTGCTCTGTAGGCCAGGCTGGCCTCAAACTCACAGAGATCTACCTGCCTCTGCCTCCCAAATGCTGGGATCAAAGGCATGCACCACCCACATTCAGTCCCCTTCCCCCACCCCTTCTCCCCCTGGCTCTTGTTAAATTCTTAGCAAAGATGGTCATACTCATGTTCTCCCTAAGTGTCTGCTTCTGGATTTTTGCACTCTTATAAATGGTGCAGTCCCAACACCAGTAAAAGAAAAAAATGTTAATACAGAAGACATAAATACATATTCAATGTTCATAAATACGAAGAACTGCTGTAGTAGGAAACTGTATTTCAAGTTTTCCATAAGCAAGAAACATCAATATTTAGACGATGCATTTTTAATTGCTGAAGCACACACCTCTGAGGTAAAAATCTGATGCCATTACTCTCCAGATGTCATGGAATGGTAGTTTCCAGTTCCTATCCCCTTGGGTCAACAAAAGTTCGTCCAACAAAAGAAACTCTTTAAACCTAACACGAAGTTCCAGCTTTCCTACAACAGCACCAGAATCCAAAGGAAGCTTTAGACGTCAATGAGCAGTTTTAGCCAGGCACGGGGTGCACACCTGTAATCCAGGACTTGGAGGCAGGAGAATCAGAGTTCAAAGTCATCCTCCGCTACATGTTGAGTTCAAGGCTAGACTGAGCTCTCTGAGGCCTGGTCCCCAAAACCACTAGGGGGAGGGAGGGACAGCACTTATGTAATGTGGACATTCTGCTCCTCACCAAATGAAAGATAGAAAACACTATCCCAATCTGAAATAGTTTAGCTCAATGTCTCACTTTTGTGGTTTTCAGAGATCACAGATAAAGCTGCAAAGTTCAACATGCTCTTGGATAAAGAGTGGATATTTCGTAAAAGAACTGATTGGGAAATTTCAAGCTGGTGGTGGTGGCACATACATATTTGTCATCTCCACACTTGGGAGGCTGAGGCATGAGGATCTCAGAGAAAGAGAAGGCAAGTTTCAAACCAACCTGGGCTACACATGGGGGGCCTTGCTGAAACCAAAACACTTGAGACATCACTGGGAAACTTACAAAATACTGAAGAATAACCTAAACAGGCAAGAATGGAGAGAACTGTTCCGTGAGGCCTCCTAATCACCTTGTCCATTACCACATCAGCATATGAAGATGGAGAAACTCCTCAGAGTTAAGCTAATCCCCCCCACACACAAAAACACACTTTATTGCTGAAGAGCCTAAGTCCAAGGTTCCATTCATATAATTAATATGAGAGAAGTGCTTACGAGCAAAAGCAGAAAAATAACACTGTATAAACTTAATAAAGTTAACAAATCATCTTGATCCTCCATTATCTCTTAGAAAGAGCTGTGAAGTCTTACCCAATTGTACCAGAGTAACCTGACTAGTGAACTAATGAGAAAGGGAGGGAGAGTGCATTGTTTGAGAGGGCTAAAATATGTATTTAAAAAGACTGTCTGGACTCTGACAAGCCAGTTAGATTGGCAAGATGTGTGAAATTCATTTAGATGTGGAAGTTTTTGGTTGGTTTGTTGAGACAGTCTGATAAAGCCAAGGTCCTTAATAACCAAAGAGGACCCTTAACTCCTGATCCTCCTGCCTCCACCTTCCAGGATGTGGGATTCCAGGTATAACCACCCTGGCCTCAGGGTGGAATATTTTAGACATGATAACTTACATGATCAATTTTTTTTTAAGGATACTATATAAGCTGGCACAAGTCTTTAGTTTCGGCACTTGGGAGACAGAGGCAGAGGCAGGCAGATGTTCATGAGTTCAAGGCCATCAGAGTGAGTTCTAAGACAGCCAGGGATACACAGAGAAACCTTGTCTTGAAAAACAAAACAAAAACAACTATATATGTTGATTTTTTTTTTTTTGTTACTCTTGACAAATATTAGGAGATTTTTTTTTTAAACAATAACAACAAAAATCTATTAGGTAATCAACTTCTGAAAGAGTCCCAAGGCAAATTCACTTCAGAACCCATTTTTCGAGTTCATTACTTTGGAAAATCAGCTCTTTGGTGGAAAACGAAACAGCAACAACAAAAGCAGGTTTGATGAACAGTCGGTTCTTTTTAAACAAACAGTGCTGTGCACTGGGAAAACGTCCCCTGAAGCACCATGGAAATCGCCTACGCACACCCAGTATTCAAGCACATGAAACTGCGGGAAAAGTACGAAAAATAAGGGAAGCCAAAGGGCGTTCCCCTCACATGACCAAGAGAACTGTTCTTGCTCCGGTTCTAAATTTGGCAACTCAGGATTTGGGGCGGCCTGATTCAAATGAGACGGGGAGAAACACCCGGCTGGTTCCGGACACTCCGGGAGGAAACAGGGGAGGACACGGAGGAAGACGCCACGAGATCAAGGAGAGGGCACAGAGCGGGACGTGGAGTGGGAGAGCGAAGACCAAGAGACTCCGAAGGCAGCTTCATCTCCTCCAGCTCTGCTGCCTTCCGAGAGGGTCCCGATCGGGCGGGAGCACGGCTTACCTGGGCCATGACGCTGTCGGTCAGACGTACTCCGGGGCTGCAGGGATAGAGAGAGAGAGACGGTCACCGGAGCTCTGGTCCCCCGCCCCAAAAAGGGCCCTGCGCCCTCTGTGGAGGAGCCGCCCGGGACCACGGCCACTCACCGGACGGCAGAGCGCAGCTGCGGGTGAGAGCAGGACCGATGCACACGCCGAGCTAGACAAGGCAGCACTCTCCGCCGCTCCGTGCAACGGAAACGCCCCGGCCAACCCAGCCCAGCCCGACCCGGCCCAGCCACTCCACGCCACGTCCCGCCCCGGCCAAGGCCACACACCCACCCGGGCCCCGCCCCCAGCGACGCGGCCCTGTGAGCCCCGCCTCGTCCCGGGACCTGCCACTTCCCGGGCTACTGTACTCCTCTCCCCCGAGTTCGTCCCCAGACAAGACCACGCCCCTACCATGGCTAGGTTCCTAACTAAAAATCTCAGGCGCCGCCACGACCCCTGCCAGGCCACGCCCTGCCACGTCCTCGCCACGCTTCTCCTGCGCCTGCGTGGGGCGCGGCTGCTCCACGTCCACTCTCCGCTGTGCGGCAGGACCTGCGTGTCCCACGGGCCTGGGTGAGGCTGGGGACCCGGGGGATGTCTGAGCGGCAGTCTACAGCGCCTTGCACCGCACCGGGCAGTCAGGGCCTTTTTTTTTTTTTCCAGGTTGTTTTCGTAGTGTTTCCTGCTAGTGATTGTGTCTTGATGTCCGAGTAGCAGACGGGCTGTCCTGTGGTGTAGCGTACGTGCCTGTGTCGGAGCCTCGGACTCGAAACACTTTCACTCCCACCCCCAGCCTGTAACTTGAAAGAGACTTGCGAGGTGTAGGATGACTAAGGTGGAGCCGGAAAAGCAGCCGGTTGCCTTCTCAGGTTCGCTGGTGTGGCCGGGAGGCACCCGCGGGGCCTACAGAAGATGCAAAAGGACAGAGGAAATGCTAGAAGGCAGCGTGAGGATCAGATCTTCGAGAAAGCAGAAGCCAGTCAGCGGGGGTTGCCGTATGCCACTTGTAGAGTCTGGCCCTAAAAAGATGGACGGTTTTCTGGAAAAAGACAAAACCACCACGGAGGAGAAGCCTCCCACCTTTCCCAGAGCGTGCCCCTGTCCCATTGGGTTCTCCGCAAGCGTTCCGTGGAATCCCTTCTCCGGGAACCTAGCAACTCCGCATAGCCTGGGACACTTCAGCACCTCTCCCAGGGAATTTTTTTTTTCATAGCTACTTTTGTTTTGTTTTGCTTTGCTCTGCTGTTTTGCTTTCCTTTGCTTCCTGAATTCGAGGGCTCCTCCCACCTGACCCTTCAAGGACTGCTAGGACTTCTGTGCCCCCATTCCCCTGCCCCAGCCCCAGCCCTTTAAAGACCCAGGATTCTCTCAGTCACTCAAACCTGTCTACTCTCTGACCACCAATAATAGCATCTCCTGCTATCTGACCTAAGCATTCTTTTTCTCACCCACACCTACTCAACTCCATTTTCCTCCTGTCATGTTCCACTCTGGCCTTAGGACCAGAGGAGGCTGTTTAACAATGTTGCTGTAGGAAACTAGGCCTTTCGGTGGGTAGTAAGCAGTGGTCTGCCTTGAAGCCAAGTAGTAATTATTAGATCCAGAATCTTGATCTTCCCCAACACAGGTTTTGTTAGGAGAGAGCTGCCTCGGTCCATCTCAGGAACAACCTCTGTCTTACTAACAGAGACAAAACTGCACTCATGTTCCCAGGGCAAGAACCAGCCCCTATCCTGGTTTTTTGTTAACCAGTAAAGAATGTGAAGAGAAGATGTTGCGGCTTATCTAGACTAAGGCACTCAAGCTGTAAATGTGTTGCTGGTCCTGACTGAAATGACTATGTGTTATCTGCCCACTCTTTGTTCCCTTATTATCTAAATTTCAGCCCACAGTCCCAAGAGGGGGCCTAACTACAAAAGCTGAATTGGACCCTGAAACTAGGTAACCCTGATAAGGCCCAGTCACCTACATTAACTTTCTTGCTTAACCCCTTGTGGCAACTATGATTGGTCAGTGCAACAACCCACTGTGTTCCCCCTCGCTTTGCGCTACCATCCTTTAAAAATGTCATACAATCTCCCTTGGGGGACATGGTTCAGATTCCACACTGGCCACCTCCGTGCACAGAAAAATAAAGCTTTCGTTTTTAAGCTTCCTTCTCTGAAGTGAGTTTTCTCAGCTTCCACCCGAACCTAACTGTTTCTTTTACTTCCTGTTAAAATTAGTTTATTTGCCTGGACCCTAGCCTGCATTCTGAAGGAACAAGCTGAGTTTCAGTGTAGTCCTATGTAGACAGGCAGAGCCCACAGATGAGAGTGAGAGAGGAACGCTATTTCCCAAGGGAGGTCTGGAAGATTCCCTAACTAGAGGAAAAGCCCGAATATTCTAAGTGTTGCCCACACACAAACACAGAGGAGAAGGTAGGCTGCTAAAGAACACACCCATGCTCTAAAGTGGGTCTCTTAGAAGCAACGGAATTTTATTTCCCGGCTATCTGGAAGCTGGAAAATTCAAGATCAAAGCTCTGTAGATTCGGGGTCTGGTGACGGTCTGCTTCCTCAGGGATCATCTCACTAAAGGCTCACATGACACCTGGCTCTCTGGAGTCTCCTTTACAAGGGCCCTAATCTCAGTCATGAAGTGAAATCCTCATAACTTAATTGCTTCCTAAAGGCCATCCTGTGACCTTGGAAGCTGGGTTTTCAACGTGTCGGTCTGGGAGTGACTCATCAGATGACCAGCTCCAGCTTCAGAACGTTTTCTGGAGGCACCAGGCTCACAGCTGTAGTCCAAGAACTTAAGCGCCGAGACCGGAGAATCGTAACATTAGCTGTCCTTCTAGTATTTTTATTCAAAACATTTGTATTTATCCAAAAGAAGAAAAATAAAGTAAATCAACGTCCCCAACAGAAGACTAGAGTGTAGGCCTTGGATAAATAATTACAATACGCCACAGGAATCTTTCAGAAAGAATGTTTTGGTCTTTAAAAGGGCCAGCCAGGCCTAGGGGTGCAGGCCTATTGCCGTAGTTACTTAGGAAGCCAAAATAGGAAAATCAAAGTTCAAAGTCAATCTGGTCAACAAAGGGAGTTCAAAGCCAGCCTAGGAAATTTAAGAAAAAAAAAAAAAAAAAAGTAAAAATTAGGAATGAGAAGCACTTCATTGTGCACAATAGAAGCACTTCTATTGTGCATAAAGCCCTAGATTTAATCCATAGCTTGCAATTAATTAATTAAGTAATTAACTAAAAATATAAGATAAGCAATAAAAATATTTAAGAGGATCTACAAAAAATACTCGGGAAAGGACAAGCAACCTGTCTCTCTTGATGACTGCTGAATCTTGATCACCTACCACAGTGCCGGGCACTTGGTAGGCATCATACTTGGTGGTGTGACTGTGGCTAAGTATGGCAGGATATTAGCTCCAACTGTGAGCTCTCGAGGGTTGTGAACTGTAAAAACCTGTGTCTTGTTCGGCGTGGTTCAGCCCTAACGCACACCTTTAATCCACGAGCTTTCTGTACACAGGATTTAATAAAGTTAACCCTAGGTCAAGAGGTGGATCAAGTAACTGGAGGACAGGGATTAAGTAGAGAGGAGGGACATTGAGAGAGGGTAATTGAGACAGTGTGGAGAAGAAGAAAAGAAGGAGCTTTTGGAGCTCTTGGGCTTTTAGCTTTTGGCTTTTTCTTCCTGGACTGTCAGGTGAGCTAGCAAACTTTTGGCCTTAGGCTTTTGGCTCTTTCCTTCAGGATGTGAGCGAAGTAGGAAGTTCAGCTGGGTGCTATCTCTGTCTCCCTGAGCTAGCAGGTTTTCACCTCAGCATCTGGTTCCTGAGTCTTTATTGGTAAAAATCAAAAGATTTGGGATTTGTTTGTATTTCTAACAACAACTAGGAATCTGATAAAAATGACTTAAGAGAAGAAGGGCTTTTTTTTTTTGGTTCACAGTTTTAAGAGGTTTGGTCCATGGTTGCTTGACCCACACTCTTGGACAGAATATCACATGGGCAGGAGTGTTTGGCGAAGGAACTTCTTCACCTCATGATGGACAGGGCAGAGAACGGGGAAGGTTCTACCCAGTGAGTCCTACCTCCTCAAGTTTCTGTAAACTCCCAAAATGGCACCACTGCTGAGGACCATTAAACACAGACATCTCCAGGGCGGCACTTCCTCCTTAAACCCTGAGTAAATTGATGAATGCAGTGTAGAATGGGGTTTTGGTGCTGTTTTTCAACAAAGGCTGCTGCTTACCACAAATTGCATGGATTCAGAATTATAAAGAGGAACCAAAATGAATTCAAAATAAACTCTGAGAGAATTTTCCTAGAAGAATACATGTGTTCTCCAACTGAGTCTGAATTCTGGACAAGATCTACTCCTGATTCAATTAACATTTTGTCTTATAATCTTATTAGTAGACCAACGTCGGATAGTTCTTTAATTTTTTTCCTTGTTTGGGATGGCGGCTAGGATTATAGGGGCTGCCTTGTTCAATTCCTAAAATAACAGGATGATTGATTTCAATTTCTCATGCCTCTTTCTTCTTCCAAAAAACTGTTGCCACCAAACCCAACCTTCATTTTTCATGTTGATGATTCAGTCCCCACCCCTCCCACTTAAAATTGAAAATACAGTCCCCACCCATCCCACTCAAAAAGGAAAATACTGTCCTGAGCCATCCCACTCAAAAAGGAAAATACATCCCTCTAAATCCATTCACAGCTGTGAGCCTAGCAACCAGCTCCCACATACCCATAGCACCCACACACCCAGTTCATTTCAGATTCCGGGGCCTGTCTGATGGTCCTCTTAACGTTAGTATCATTCACTCATTGTTCATTCATTCATAATTTTATTGTGGGCCTTGCCATCGACACTGAGAACACAGGGGTTTGGGGGAAAGGTACACAGAATCTGCCTAGCTAGCACTCAGCCCGACAGGTTAAATAAAATGCTGGGGAGTGAGGTAGTCAGTGACGGAAAGCTCCTCGTGGCAATGGGATCTTTTATGTGTCAGCTTAGCTGGGCTTCCAGGTAACCAGAAGTCTGGTGTTACCTCTCATTATGTCGATGAGGGAGTTTCTAGAATAGACTGGCATTGAATTGGTAAGCTGGATAGAGCAGACTCTCTGATCTGATAGGTCTAACCCCCTCTGTTGAGGGCCTGAATAGAACAAAAGGCCAGGAGGACCTGCTTCATTTCTGTGTGACAGCTGGGGTGGTGGTCTTCCTCCTCCCCCCACCCCGCCCCTGTGCTTCAGGCTCAGGCTGTCAGGCTTGAGTTAGGATCTACCCGTAACTCTCTTTTGTTCTCTCCCACCATCCTCTCTTGTTCTCCTGCATACAGATGGCGGATGGTATAACCCTTAGCTTCCCAGTCACATGGGCAATTTCTTATCAGTCTCATTGTATATGTGTGTGCACATACTCATTTCATTGGTCCTATATTTCAAACTGATACAAACAGAAAAAAAAAAAAAAACTTCTGATGCTAATTAAGACATGGGGTTTTCCATTCACAATAAGCAATTCTCCAACTCTTCAGATATTAACTATATAAGCTTCAATTGAATTTTTGACTCTACCTGGGGCAAAGGTCTATGGGCTTAGTCCCACAAGACCATCCTCATTTCAGACACCCATTGTGGCTCCTGAGTTGTCTGCTCTTTTTGTTTGTTGTATTGTTGTTGTTGTTGTTTTTTTTTATCTGTTTGTTTTTGAGACAGGGTTTCTCTGTGTAGCCTTGGCTGTCCTGGATTCACTTTGTAGACCAGGCTGGCCTCAAACTCACAGAGATACGTCTGCCTCTGCCTCCGCAAGTGCTGGTATTACAGACGTGTGCCACTTTGCCTCGTGTTGTCTGTTCTTAGAAGAAGAAAAAATAGATTTACTTGATGGGTGTGAGGGTGTTGCTTGCATGTATTCTGTATACCCTTTGCATGTCTGGTGCCAAAGGAGGCCAGAAGAGGGTGTCAAATCCCCTGGGACTGGGGCTGTAGTTACAGATGGTTGTGAGTCATTCTATGGGAATCAAACCGAATCCTGTGCAAAAGCAGCAAACGCTCTTAACTGCTGAACCCTTCCAGCCCCTCAGCTGCATTTTTAAACAATGGCTATCCATCAGGTTTCCCACAGCCTCTTCCTCGGGTCTCATGTACAGCTGACGATACTGGTCAATTCATTACAAAAGCTATTACAAAAGGTACAGGTGAGAAGGGGCTTGGGACGGTCACCGAGACCCCGGCCCCACCCTCTTGTGTGCTGGCAGCTTACTAACAAGGAGGGAGGCCTCAGGGGTAATCATTCTGATTGTTTCCACATTAGAAACATACTGAACATACCGTACATTAATGAGCCAGATGTGTGTGTGTTTGTGTGTGTTGGGCCATCCACTGAAAGAGGATGTTTAGAGCCAGCATTTTGGATGGGCAGTCATAGGCTTAACCTTGCCCTGCAGCTGCTGTTCCTGGTACCTCAAGCAGGACATCTGCCTTCGGGTGGAGAAATATTCCTCCCCACCCTGACCCTGAAGAGCCACCCCGCTGGACAATCCTATCTCAGCACCTTGACTGAACCTCCTGAAAAGCCCTACATCAACACAAGCCGGGAATCCTGCTCTGGATTCCCGGCCTACACATGCAATGAGCTTCTCTGGCCTTGAGGGTGACCTGTTACAAAGTCGTAACTAACATTCAAAAAGTTTGTGTTAGGGGTCAACATGACTGAAGTTCCAGGGCCACCTTCCAAGGTCATGGTACGCACTGCTCTTCGTGGATTTTGAATGGTATCTGTGACTTGTCTTCTATTTCCTCCACTTATTCACTTTCAAATATGGTTTAAAATATTATGCTGAAGAAAAGTTTGAATGGATTTCCTGGAGAACAGCTTCAGTGGGTTATTCGGGGAACAGTAGGTTATCTGTGGGTAACTTGAGTGGGCTATCTTGAAGGGTTATCTGGGGATAGCTTGACTAAGTTATCTGGGGACAGCCTGAGTGGGCTGTCTGATCAATATTCAGAGAGTGACATGCACAGAACAGTTCCAATTTTCTATCACCACTCCTATTGCTTTAAATACACTGGGATGGAAACTGAAACAGTCTCTCCATGCAAGCTCTCATCTTTCTAGAATCCATTCATGCACATCCTATC